AAAAAAAAAAAATGTAAAAACGTTCAGCCTCAACTCCAAAATTAGACGCTCTTATATAAGAAAAGAGCGTATTCGCTTTCGTTTTCTTGCTTTGTCAATGCTAATCAAACCCGTTATTTTAACAACTTAAATTGTCTGTTCTCTCTTGCTATGTGAGACATTTCATTTTAATGGTGTGCTTTTTGTTTCTTTGTTTTATAATTTTTTTTTTTCGAACACTTGAGTACCGTGAAGGACGTTTTTTAAAACTCATGTAGATAAAGACACTTTTTACTGATTTTATCTATTTTTTCCCTACCAAAAACCGCGCAAATGTCTTCCCTGCGTGACAGAACTTCTCTTCTCTTTCTGCTCGGTGAGAAACGAGAGGAAACCTCTGCTCGCAATCGGTCGACCGTTTGATGACTAGGGACATTACTGTGAAAGTCAAAAAGCCGTGAACACTAGCTTAAATTTGATTTTGACGTGTCAATTGTGTAGCCACCAATCAGATGCGAGATGGAACTGTAAAAAAGGAAACAAATTAACGCTCTCGGTGAGTCACGAAACTACGCTTCGATCGATTTGCTTTCCAAAAAACATTGTTACCCTGTAGTTTTCACATTACAAAACCTTGTAGCCACTTTGTAATCTCAGACATATTTTCTTCTACAATGGAACTCTTCGTAGATAAACCTGGCCTGGAAACCGCCACATCAAACCGGCAAGCTACAGCTTTTTTAGTGTTACTCTGTTGATTGGAGTAGTGAACACAAAGCATGTCTGCTGTCGCGAGTTCGAGACAACTTTTTCTTTTTCATTACATACACGGCTAAATTCATCGCGCTAAAGATGAGCAAAATTACCATACATGACTGCGTCTTGTCTTCAATTTTGCGAAGTTAGTGAAGTGATAGAAAACGTGCATAAAGTAGACTGTGCGGTATGCGTACACAATACGGTAAGAGAGTCGCTACATGGCCCAGTGAAAAAAGCTCGAACACAGTAGGCTAGAGTCCAGGGCGCAAACCATACAGCGGAAAAGCTACAGCCTGTTTGGAAGTGAATATCTACATTCAGAATACTAATAATGTGATATTATTATTGAATTTCCATTTATTTTTCCTTTTTTGACAGCTGACAACCAAGCACGCGTCATGATTGCCTTGAGTTGTTTTCTTCTTTCGTTTGTGTGCCTTGCGCATTCCAGAAGTTATTATTATGGTCAATCTAACGGTGGAAACCAGGGTAAGCCATTGGAGAAACTATGTTTTTATAGAACATTGAGCGCCTTTGATTTTAAAATGTCAATGGAATTGAGAAATCCGAAACAAACAAACAAAAAACGTCATATTTTGCAACTGGACAAGGTAAAAAGGAACTAAGACACAGTGAACGAATATGTGAAAGTGAGTGAAATTTCTTGCACTGAGTCGTCATACTTGAAGCAGCACGGACTCATCTTAGCACTTCTGCCGAGAGTTTTAGAAATAATTTATAAATCAGCTTTTTACAAGTGTCCCCTTAGTCGGATCGAAGTAAAAATTACACCAGTTATAAGCAGTAGATTGAAGGTTCGTATTTTTAGGACAATCAATGTTTTCAAAAAGCCCGTTCAGTGATAAACGAAAAATTCGAAATCGGTAAAACGTTACCCAGATTTGGCATGAAAAAGCCGAAACATCAAGATCTTTAAGAATCAAATTAAACATATTTTTTGCTTTGTTTAATTTCAGGAGCTCGTTTTTGCTACGGTAAAGCTAATGGAAACTACCGAGATCCAGATAATTGTTACGGGTTCATCACCTGCTCAAACTCGATAACGTACAAACAGAACTGTCCCAGCGGCTTAAAATACAACGAGAGAACAGGCCGCTGTGATTGGCCACAGAATGTGCAATGCGGCCAAGGTAGGGTTTGCTAAACCTCTTTCTTCTAAGAGATATTTCACAGTATCTATGTCCAGCTGTCCAATGGCTGATTCCACCTATCCATTGGCAGATAGATATTCAGTGGATAGGTGTTGCCAAAACAAACCTCGCTATCCTGTAGATAGTGTGATATTCGATGGACGGTAGCATTATCTACCCTTTGGGAAACCTGAGCTACAGTTCAAACCGGGGTTAGGCAGTTCTTAAACATTTAATATTGTTGATATTGCAAGTGGGACTGGTAACAGAACAATATGACTTAGCACCTGCAATTCCAAAGTCCGTGTCGCCTGTTTTTCACGAGTTTTTAAAAGAATACTATATTTCTTTGGCCATCGTATCCTCTATAAATATCAACTATGGTAATTACCGGTGAAAAAAAAAAAAGAAAAAAAAAAGAATGAAATTTCANGATCCTGAGAGCTGATTAGCACTATCCACTGGCAAATCGATACCCAGTAGATAAGTGTTGGCAAAACAAATCTCACTATCCTGTAGATAGTGTGCCGTTGAGGGGACTCGCAAATGAAACGGTCGGGGATGCTCATGGTCTCACTTACGGGTATAAATCAAGTATTCTGGTCTCACTTCAAGTTTTCATGACGAAACGCCATATTTTGAGCTGTTAGAGTATCTTTAAGGGTGCACTCGAAGAAAAAGTAATAAAAAGAGTTCTTGTTTTCATTTTTAGGCTCGATTTCCGCCGGTCTTTCGAGGTCGGTCTACTAGCGCGGATTTCTTTTCCTGAACAGCGGGCTGGTAATCGAAACTTTCCTGTTTTAAGCGGTGTCTTTTAGGGATCAAATAAAGCACAAGCCACACCCGAATAGGTCTCCTTTAGGGATTTAACTTAATTTTTTTTTCGATGAGCATCCCCGACCTTTCCATACGGGAGTCCCCCCAGAATAGTGTGATATCGGGCGGACGATAGCGTTGTCTACCCTTTGGAAAGCTTGAGCTACAGTTTAAACAGGGCTTAGGCAGTTCTTAAGCATTTAATATTGTTGATATTGCAAGTGGGACTGGTAACACAACAACATGACCTAGCACCTGCAATTCCAAAGTCCGTGTCGTGTGTTTTTCACGAGTTTTTAAAAGAATACTATATTTCTTTGGCCATCGTATCCTCTATAAATATCAACTATGGTAATTACCGGTGAAAAAAAAAAAAGAAAAAAAAAAGAATGAAATTTCAGATGAATGGTCTAGCTAAGAGATTCACAAAAATATAACTTTCAGTTCAATTTGATTCGTATTTTAGCGCTAGGGCGACCAATTTGGTTTTGCCCCTCTGAGAAGGCTTTCAGCGGCCATTTTAGGGCACATTTTTAACAATTTGCCATATAAAAAAAATGTTATAAATCCCGAGAAAAAAACCATTAGTCGGGAGAAGCAAATGTTTTTTCTTTTACTTCTTCTTCTTCTTTTTTTTTTTGTTAGGTTGAGAGGCTGTTTTGGGAATTTGATCAAAATCTGAGTTTTTTATTTTTTTTACAGAATTTTAATTTTCTTTCCTTTGGAACAACTGCATGAAGCGCCTTAAACATGGCGAAATTTAAAGGAAAATATCGCCAAAAGTACGTCACTTGAGATCCCAAAACTACACTCCACTTATAGAGCAATGTCTCGCCTGTGAAAAAGATGCAATAACATTTTGGGTCGGTTAAGACTGTAACATGTCAGAGGAAGAAGTTTAATTAATCTGTAGCAGCTCTCGTAAGCTTGTAATTCTCTTCATTGTTAGCAGCTGTTACTGTTTTAGGGCTAGGGGCATTGTTTCTGTTGTTTGTTCTGTTGTTCTCTCAAAGGGTATCAAGCCATTCGCCTTAGACCTTGCGAGAGCTGCCACATCACCCTAAGCTGTGCTTTTATCAACAGAGACCGCCGTCCTAATTAATTAGCTTGATAACGTGAAAATGATATATTCCACTTACCTCGCGTCATGTCGACAACTGGATGTTACCAGCTCGATACCTCATGTTTTATTATCAGCAGGTTTCAATACAATAAGATACGATACGATTCGATACA